TAAAAGCCTTTAAAGGTGCTCTTTTCATTAGGTGTTTTTAAAAAGTGCTTAATTTTCCTTTTCCAAAATGAGATTTTTCCTTTACCATGTTGATTTTTTGCTATGAATTATACAGAAAGACGCTGTTCACATTGTTCTATTCAAGGTTTTCACAATTAATTCAACCCTAATCTAGTTCGGCATATCGTCAGTCCATAGCATATGAAAACAACATTCGATTTATATGATTCAAAAGTTTTGACATGACGGTTAAAACCAGATAAAACCGTCAATTGTCTAAAACTTTCCAATCCTACCTAATTGCAATATTTTTACAGTGCTTAAAAATATTATTTGGGTGCTTGAAAAGTGCTTAAAAGGTGCTTATTTTTTGTTGAATAATTTGGCTACACACCCTGAGTTCCATTGTTGGGACTTAGCTTTTAATTCCTAATCCTCACAATATTATTGTTACCCCAAGTTCAGAACAATTTTAACTAATTCAAACAGTTTAACACACAGTTACAATGAATAACACCTGTAAGGATTTTAATGAATCTGTTGAAAATTCTGTTAGGAAAGTGAAATTATGAAAGTTTACATCAGCAGAAGGTATCTATATAATGTTATTTTGGAAATAAGGAAAAATAGAACAGCCCTTGATTGAAGATGATAGAGGAAAGTTGATTTTGGCGTAGGAAAGTATAAACGGTTTTGTATAAATAGAAGAAAATGGAGTTATTTATGTAAAAAAAAGTTACTGTATTTTGAAATGGTCGTTACTTAAAATTTGTCCTTGAATAAAATATTTCATTTTCGGAATTTTGTTCTTTGGTTCAGAGCTCTCACTAATATCATATCTGTATCTTCTTAGATGCATTCCAGGTTTGGTAGTACTATAATTCTTAGACCATTATTATTATTTATTGTTTGTTTGAAGAAATACATTCTTTGCTATAATGTCACCATTATATTCAGATATGTGTTTAAAAAGAAATATATAATAATTTCTAATTTTCTGGCAAATTGTCATAATGAACTAAATTGTATTACTCTTTTTATGTGTGATTTTAATCAATAGATTAAATCAGGGTTACCACCCACCTTGAAAACCTGGAATTATCAGGGAATGTTTTTATACTGGAAAAATCAGGGATTTTTAAAGAAAAGCTGGAATTTTTTCTTTGATTTTTCTTAATTTTACTAATTTAAGTTATTTAATAATTTTTTTTAATTAAAATTATTTTACCAACTGTTATACCCACTTTTAGATGAAAATTTATTGCCAAGCAGTTGAAATACCATCAACTTAGCAATACTTCGCTTGCATCAAAATTTGGACCATTATAACCCTGTTAAACTCCCATGGTTTCTTAAAGAATAGAGAACCTTTCCAGGTCACCTCATTCCCGTGAGACTACCTGGCTAACGCTCTATCCCCTGAGTCAAAGATGATAAAATAACATTTAAAAAAAATAATATTTTAAATAAAATACTTTATACTTTTGATACTTTTCTTGTACATATCCTACACTTTATGAGGGAAGAAAAAGCCCATTGACCTGGAAATTTTAGGATTTTTACCTGGAAAAATCAGGGAAATTTGAAACCTGATTTTAGTGGCCACCCTGTAAATTGAAATGATAACATATATTGTTCTTCTATTTCTAGGTTACTCATCGCAAGGATATTTACACAGCTTCTGCAATGGTGAAAGGTAAATTAATGTTGTTTTTTTAACGTATTCATGTGCTTTAAAATAAAAACTAAAGTTTAAGTTTTAAAATGTTCTAATCTTTATCTGCTTTTTACCGTAACGTTTAAAAGCTTAATTTTTGTCAAGTTTTCGAATGTTAGAATTATTATCTGTTGTTGGTTATATTGTGGATAACATTGACATAAAGAGTTCAAACTTTGGGTACTGTAGTCAAAAATTCATTGTGCTGTAGGACAATATGTTGTGAGAAATAATGCAGTTCCTATCCTATACTTAATCCCTGATTTATAAATAAATGTTCAATTTCAAAAAAATTATATGACTTACAAAAAAAAATTTCCTTTTGAAATATTGATGATTTTGTTATTACAGATATTTATAGCAGTTTAATGTTTAATTAAACTCAATGTATGTTCTTCGGTTGTAATTTGGTTAGTAATAAGTTTAGTGAAAGAACATGTTAAGGTGTTATTGTGTGATGTTAGATTCAAAATCAGTTTCCTCTAGCAAAGTTGCGATTTTCTAGCTTTTTCAAAGATCATTGGCTCATTAACAGGCAATTTGCAGTCTCCTGTCATAAAACTACTTTAAGATAACTTTGTTCACATCACCATTTATGGCAATTTAATTGCATTTTATATTTCCCCACAGCATGTTCTTTTCTTAAAAAGAATAGCTGTTTGTCATTGAGTGAGGACTTCCTTGACTTTTAGTAACATCAACTTGCTTTGTGTATTGAGGATTTTGTGAAATATTTTTTGGCGTTTCTTAAAAATGAAAATGTTTTGCACATCATCACCATACATTTAAACTGGATCTGTAGCATTTTTAAAAAGTGCTTATTTTTAGTTTTCATTTTTTAAAAGCCCTTTAAAGTGCTTATTTTTCATTGATGATCGAAATGGACTACAGGTGGCGTAGAGCAGAACTCTTTACCTATGGCAACACTTCGTCTGCTTTCGCATAAGTGATAGGGAAGGAAGTGCATTACTTTCTGTCTTGATTTTCAAATAGATTAAAAACTTTTGAGCTTGACAACTAAATTGAACTTAGTTCCAAAAGAAAGCTTTGGAGAATTTTTAAAAAATATTTTTGACAATTAAATACGAAAATATTAAGAAAATTGAGAATAGCGTAGTACATTTCTATACAACCGAGAAGAGAAGGAGAGGGGTCAGGACATGGACAAATGATTAATTCAAAGTGCTTCAACTGGCACATAAAAGCAATAATTTTAGACATTCTGACAGACAGACAAATATCTGGACATATTCTCTTTCCAATTCATCATTTTCATAACTAAAACATATAAAATTTGTCTATTCAGCAAAGAGTGCAATTCTATCAAAAATTTTTTGTTTCCTCCTGTAATTCAACATGGAATGTCATTTTCCAGTACAATGCTAGTGTTTCAAGACAAAGTTTGTATCTTTCCAATCATTGAATAGAAGTTCGATTTTTTTTATTGACAGGTTCACCTGAAAAAAATAGTTGTTGAAATGGATGGTTGACAGCGTAAACCTAAGCGCAGATGGCGCTAGGCTTTAGATTCGTCATAAGACTTCCGGGTTACTAGTTCTGACTAATTTTTATGCCTAAGCTTCAAAACATGCACCATTAAATATTATTATATATATCCAATATTATGTCGTGTTTTCAAAACGACACATTCTTTCAATCTAACTTTCAACGAAGAAAATAACAAATTAATTTGGAAGACTCCACTAGCGTGCCGTAATGCTACCCAAAAAATAACAAATGTAGCCAAATGAAGGATAAAACTCAAAACATGGTTAACCTTACACTTTATTTATGCTATGATATTATTGTTAAATTTATTTTAGGCTCACGGCCTGTTAGAATTTATAAATTTCAGAAAACTCTTATGAATGGTAAAATGATGTGTAAATTTAAATACAAATCACTATAATAATTGTTGAAATGGATGGTTGAGGGCGTAAACCTAAGCGCAGATGACGTTGGGCTTTAAGATTCATCGTAAGACTTCTGGGTTACTAGTTCTGACTAATTTTTATGCCTAAGCTTCAAAACATGCACGATTAAATATTATTAGTATATATATCCAATATTATGTCGTGTTTTCAATACTATTATTGTTATAGACAGTATCACTATAAACAGATTTCATTTTGTTCTTTTTAAAGCAAATAGTAAAATTAAATGTTTTTGTGTTTTTTTCTTTCAGAAAGTCAGAGTGTAGGCATAGTTTGTAACAAGCCATTTCCTGCTTTTCTGCCATTTTTGAAAATATCTTTGAGTAAAAAGTTTAAAAGTGTAAGTCTTGGTTTTATGTAGACAGCAAGCATTATTTATTATTATTTTATGGCAAGCCTTCTTTAACAAGATTCGGGGTGCAATAAGGAAATATTTTGTAGTAAAAATGGTTTGTTTAGCATTTAAAAAACTCATATAAAACTCTGTTGGTATGGATATAAAAAGAATTAATGGAAAAAAATTTTTAGTTATTGTAAAAAGATTTTTTATGTATATGCATGTTTTTTTTTCTCCATTTATTAACAAATGGAGAAAAAAATTTATTAACTTTTGCTTATTTAAACAATATTCTTCATTGAAATATTTGTTTTCATTGTTTAATAATGTGTGTAGTGTATCTACCACTACAAAAATATACTTCCAATTCATAAGACATGTTAACTCGATTCTATGGTGGGGCTTTCCATAGATGAAGGTTAACATTGTTGATAACTACTATCCCCATGACGTGTTTTGCTTAAAATACTCACAAGGAGTAAAAAAATATTCAGCAGACGCATTTTGTATTTAAAATATATTTTTCAGTTGATAAAATATAGGTAAAATGTTATTAATGTCCCCAACACACATGTCTGAACTTTAAAGTAATTAACTTTATTACAAAAGAGTTATTTTTGTCCAATAAACAATACTAAAGCAAGAGCATTATAATGAAACAATTATGAAAAAAGAAAATTTTTATTTGGCAATAACATTGTTAGTTAGTATAAGCACGACTAGTTATGAGTTAAAGTAATTTACTTACAAATATTTAGATAGTTATGAATACATTCTGTTAGTAAGCATAAGAATACATAATTTCGTAACTTAAGCTCTAAAACTTGTTTAACTTCAGCTTTTTGCTCATCAAGTAAGATATTATGAATTGACCCGCCATTGTTAAGGTTTGAATCTGGTGTCACCTCATTACAAAATACATACTCTGTCTTCTCAACTTTTATAAAAACATTTTTCTGCCATCTATAATCATGCAACAACACATATGGGAATTTTTTTAGTTTATATTTAAACTTTCTGTTTTTCTTTAATCAGTATTAATATAGAATTAAATAGTAAAGTGGCGGGAATTAACTACCTTGCTATGACCTGACTCACTTAAATTTTCTTAACAACTTAAATCTTTTTCCCTATAAAGGGTTAAAAAAGCTCTTTCTCGAGTTTTTCTTCAGATTTATTAATGGTTTTTATTATTATCATTTTTATATCGAATGAACTCAGCTCTCTACTGATACCAGTTTTTCTAATTTCTGATTTTATTTTGTCGTTCCAAGAGTTATGATGCTATTTTTCTGAATATTTGACTGGATTGAAAAAATGAACTATAGCTTTGTGCTGTAACAATGGAATTTAGTATTTTGCCAAATCATGAAGAAAGTTTCTATGTTTTCAAAGCTGCCTTTTATAATGGCTAAAAAATTTTATAAATATTTTAATTAAAATTTTAATACCTACATTTTCACTATATTTTACCTCCTTGAAATACATACAAATGTTTATTTTAATACAGTAAGCTCTCGATATCTCGAAAACTTTGTTGTGTCAAAAAATATTTTCCCCAAACATTGTATATCCACCTAATAATAATTTGAATTCCAATGTCAGAGAGTTTCTTTGCAAAACCTTGTTATGTCGAATTTTTTTCGAAATAGAAATTGAATTTTTTCAGAAAAATCAGAAAGTTTATTGTAAACCAGTTCTTTTCTATTTAATGGTATATTTATTTTTATCCCACTTTTAAAAATAATAATTTGTTGTATTTAGACTTATAGTCAACTATCATTGCATATTTAGTAGTGGTTATTCTTATGTTTCATGACTCTACTTTTTAGAGTAATATTTTAGAATATATTTCTCTACTTTATAGAAAACATGTTTAGTTCTGAATTTGTTAAACTTTGAGATATCAAGAGTATGCTGTATATAATTTGATTATATCACTTTACTTATACGTTAACATTTTGTTTCAACATTTTAGATTCATGTAGTAAAAAGCGGTGAGCCGGCCTTGAGTAAATATTCCAATCTAGTACTGATACACTCTAATAAGAGTCCATACGACGTCATAGAGCAAATGAAACTCATGAGTAGTGAGATCAAACTAACTCAGCTTGCTACTATCGTTAACATTATGTATCAGAACTTTGATCCCAACATCAACTTCTTAGAACTACACAAACAAGCAAGGGCAAGTGCAAAGAAATTAGAGAGTGAAAATATCTTGGTATACCATGTTTTGATGGAAAAGGTAAAAAATTAAATATATTTTTGAATGCTTCATTAATTATTCTATAATATGTAGATATTAGATCTGATAAAGTAGACATTAGATTTATGTGTGCTGTTAACGCACACATGGAGAAATTCCATGATACAAAAAATAGATAATCTAATAGATAACCTAAATAGACAATCTAAGAAGGTAATCCATTTCTTTTGTGGTGTAAGTTTTTTTGGAAGAATTCGTTAGTTGTTTGGCGGTGTAACTTTTTATTTGGGAAATTTATTCTAAATTTAAAAAGCTATCACTAATACAAGAAATTTAACGGGTATTTATATTTCAAGAAATAGAGTTAATTGATTTGTTCAGTAAACAGCTCATATGTAGATCCCATTTAAACGAATATTTAATTAGGGGAATGTTTTTTTCTTGTTGTTGTTTTGACTAGATTACATTTCTTTTTATGAAGCAAGAGCATAGTGTGATTTATTTACTGATTTTTGAATATGTTCTTTGCTTTCACAAGATATGTTACAAATATATATATTATTATATCAATGGAAAATATCAACATTTTTATTTAAATTAATAGTAAGAACATGGTGCGTAGCGTTTTTAAAAAGTGCTTAAAGGTGCTTCTTTCATTGGAGGTTATTAAAAAGTGCTTAATTTTACCTATTTGAAAAGGAAATTTTTTTTTATCATGTCAATTTTTGCCACGTATTATGTAAAAGTGTGGTTTTCACATCGTTCTATTTAACCTTTTCACAATTCCTTTTACCACCATCCAATTGGGCGTACCGTCGGTCCGTAGCATATGCTAGCGCCAATAATTTTACATGTTTGATTAAATATTTGCGAGTCAACATGTGCGTCTACAGTGATGGGCTCACTGAGATTCTCTCATATGCAACTCTGCTGCATTTTTGCAACATATTCTCAATTTCTGGCTTCATTTTGCACCCTCTGAAATTGAACCAACAAATCTTTTGATTTTCTTGTGGTGGCTAATATAATCCAGAAAAAAGTTTCTTTTCAGAAACTAGTTATTTTATCATGATCATGTAAAGTCTTAGTAAATTATTTTGCATTTTGTCATGTACATAGTTCTTTAACTTTTTTTGAGTACTTAAAATGTGCTTATTTTTTGTTGAAAGATTTGGCTTCGCTCCCTGTAAGAATGATTTAGAATTTCATATTTAAAAGCTAATAGCCAATACCAAAAATTAATATAAAATATGATTAAATCTTTAATCTTGTAGTAGTAACAATAATTTAAGGTTTGATTGTTAATAATTGATAATCAATACCATTCTTTTTATTCCTCGCAGATGTTTTTTTTTTCTATTTTTAAAATTTGAAATAAGTTTTCAATTTTCTCTTGTAATGCTGTTTATTTTCTTTACAGTGTAAAGAAGATAGAACATTTGAAGAAAAAATAGAATTAGTGTCATCCTTATTATTCGATAGCAATCCTAATATCAGTGGAACAGTATTTATTTCCTGATAACATTTTCTTTTCCAGCTTTGTGATATTTTATACAGTTATTTATATTTAATTTAGGTGCAATAAACACCATAGACTGTTCTTATAAAGAATGAATGTATAGCGCAGCAGATTACTTATTAAATGAACCTCTTAAAACAATAAAAACAGTGCTTTTTAAAAAAAGTAGTTTTTTTTTCTTTTTCAGTAAAATGATATTGTACTAATATTTATTTAAAAGCAATGTTTAAAATATGTAATTAATATGTATTAAAAGCAATTATTTAAAAGCAATTGTATTAATAATTATTTTAAAACAATAAAAACAGGGCTTTTTTAAAAAAATAGTTTTTTTTCTTCTTTAGTCAAATGATATTGTATTATATTTTTTTAAAAGCAAACACACATATATGTACCTAAAGATGTATTTCTTGTCCTGCAGTGGACTTATCATTAAGATGTACTTCCCTGGAGATAACAGAAGTCAAGCATTTATGACAATGTTCAGGTGATCACTTTGATCAGCCCACGAGGAGACTGAGGGTGTGCGGTATCAGTCCTCGTTGAACTTTTCTACCAAAAAGTGCTTGACTTAACATGTAGGTCATATGGCTACCGAAGCGGGGGTGCCATCCCTTTTGCAGGGAATTCAAATTTTTATGGCATGCTTTTAGAGAACATCCTCAGGAATGTTTCCCAGACCATCTCCAATAGCCCATTGTGCAGTTCTAGTGTGACATAGATGAAAGTGCTACTACTACATATTTTACCTCCTTTTTTTTGCAGTCTATAAAGAGCTCTACTTACAGACTTCTTGACTTAGTAAAATATTTGTGACGAGAAATATGATCATCTACCCTCGGCTCTCGCTTCTTAAAATAATCTAGATCATTCACATTTCATTTTTAGAGCTTAATAATTCTCTAAAACTTATTTTTTGTTTTTGCAGACTTTGCTAAAGTTTTGTCTTTGTAAATATATTATTGAAACTACAAAAAATTGTGCTCACAGCTAATTATAGGTACAAGTTGTTCCAGTGACGTTTCGTGCTCACGAAATTGTCGCTGTGATGAATTTTTATTGCAATGAGTTGTGAGCAGAACAAATTGTTGCTGAGATAAGTTGTGCCCATGGCAAATTCTTTTCGCAATAAATTGGGCCAAATATGAAGTGTCGCCATTTTGCCATATCTCGAGAACTTATTAAGCAAATAGAAAAGGTTTTGCTCACTATTATAATTTTTTTTTTATCCAAATGCCATGCAAATTATATAAATACAGTCGAACCTCGATTTCACGAATTTTTCAATATCTGAAAGGGATTGATCTGATCCCTTCAAATTTCCTATACACTCAATGTTTAAAAAAACTTTATTTCTCGTTTTTTTTTTCTAATCCCTCAATAACTTTAATTTTTTTTTCCATAAATACTGTAGATTTTTTTTCTAAAAATGAAAAAAATATTCCAAAAAAAAATTTTAAGAATAGAAAACCAATTCTCATAATCATAATCAATTCTCAAGCAACCACTTTCTGCAGTGGGCACTGTAAGGAGATTTATTGAGAAGCAGCCGAATATGTCAGAGGAGACATTTAAAGCTATAGTCCACTTAGAACGTGTTATAGACAAACTTTCTTACACTTCTCTAAAGCAAACAACAATTGAATGTTTTTAAGTGTAAAAAGTGTTTTTAGAATAAATATGGAATATTAAATAAGGTACATAAAGAGCATTTTTCCTTATTCTACCATCAATAACATGCGATTTTCGATAATTCAAATTTTCGGTATCTCGACTTTTTTCTCCTCTCCCTTCAAGTTCGAGATATCGAGGTTTGACTGTATTTATCATTTTGTTTTATTTTATTTAATATTATTAGACAAAAAAATTGTGACTTGTAAGACATATAATTTTTTGCTTCATTTTACAGAATTTAATTTTACATATCAAAATACAAAATTTGTGAGCGAAATCGTCAAATAGTTGCTGAGAAATCTAATTTTACAAAAGTTGTATATTTAAATTTCTCCTCAGCTATTTGACCGATTTTGCTCAAACTTTGTAAGACGCCTTGTAAAATTACATTCTTTAAAATGATGTTAAAAACAGTATGCATTGCAATTAAATTTTTTTTATTATTATTAAATAAAATAATACATATTTACTAAAAGTTATTATTATCTTTAGATAAATGAATTAATGGCTAAATATAAAAAATCAAAATAAACATTAAAAGATAGAAATTTAAATATGATGATCATATTTCTCAGATTGCAGCTTCCTCCTATATTTTGGAGGTTAGAAATCCATCCTCGAAAAAAGATATGTTTATTTAAAGAAAGTATATTATTGTGTATGATTACGTAACTTAAAATATCGTCTGCGCTACTTAATTAGCATATTTGAGGTAAGCGCCTTGAAACATTATGATTGAGACTTAGAACGTGAAGATCCGATCATTAGATTGAAAGTTATTCAAGTGGGTCCATTAATTTTTTTGCACACTGCACACACAATGAATTGTCACTACGACGAATTGTTTCACGACAAACTGTGTGCGACGAATTGCCGCAGAACATTATGAAGCACAAAAATACAATTCTTATTCAAGGAACTCGACAGATCTGACATCAATAATTCGAAACAGGAAACTTTAATTTGCCAACATTAAATGGAAGAAAAAGGGATAAAACAAAAAATGAGTGGTGTTTTGATTTTACTGCCTTAAACATAAAAACTGCCCGGCAAGGGATGTAACGAAGACCTACGTATGAAATGCCTTTGTACAAAACTCCATAGAATGGACAAGGATTATTTAAAGAGAAAAATGTTGTAAAGAATTGGACAACGTGCGAAAGATAAATAAAAAATAAAATGTTATTCAGAAAAAGGCAACATTACTAAACATGGTAACCTAGTAAGCGGATCAAAAAATGTTGTACTTAACGTTACCAGCAGCAAAAAGAAGAAAAAAATTCCAACTTCCCCCCATGTGAAAATCCAGTTATTTAGAGCACGGGAGCGAAAAGTGTGTGTTGAATTATAAGAGGCAACATTTTTAAGCAATTTTCTTACTCTTTAAATTTTTTTTTTTAAAAAAAAGAGAAAAGAACGAAATTAGTATGTACGTTAACTCGATACTCTCCCGGTGGTAATCGCAAGTCTATTTGTTATAATCAAAATAAATACGGTAATGAAAAAAAAAAAACAGCAAAGAAGCCTATGGTTAAAAATAGTCATTTATTCTTAATTAGCTAATTTGAAAAACATCCAAAAACGATTTTTTCACAGTAAAAAGTAGTATTTACGAAACAATCAAGCAACTATGTCAAAAGGAGGATTGTGCTTGATGGTTCAGAGCCAGTTACTTTATGTTCGGTTCAATATTTTTAGTGAAGTCGCATCGTTGCAAGCGATTTCTCATTTTTCATGACTAGATCCGTTACAGCACGTAATCCTCGCTTGACAAGATAGGAGGTAATGAAGGCTGTTAAAAAAAATTTGACGATTGTCCACAGTTCAGGGTATAGGCAACTGATGTTACCTTGAAGCCAAAATTCTGTGAGACGATCAACATTTCAAAGTTTCATTAGTTGAAAGTTCGACCATTTCCTCTTGAATCTGAACCTCTGCTGTTTCATTATCCACAAAAGGGTTCATAATCCATTGAGGGAAGTATAGGGATTCGTGAAAAAGAACAAATCTTTATTTTGTTCTTCAGGATGAATTTTTTGCAAATGCTCTTGCAAACGGGAAGGTTTCATTACCTCATTAGATAAAACTTTGTTATAAAGTAAACACATGCGTAGTTCAGAGTTCAACGGCGATTGAACAAATCCAAGTACGTGACACTATTTTGCAGACACTTCTTGTTGTTAACAGACATTGCTGGTGGCAACAAAATACAAACGATGAAAAAAAAAATCAGTTATTTCTCAAAATTATTAAATAATTTACGATAAAGAACTAATTTGAGCACGTACCTGGCCAAATAATCTATGAAATCGAATCGAAACTGGGGAGGGGACTAAAAGGAAGCGAACGAAAACCATTATAAGAAACATGGGTCAAGTCAAACATTCATACTGAAAGCGCATGCACTTCAATTTTCGCCTAATGGTTTGAATGAGCTTGAATTACTGGCACAAATATGGTATGGGATAATCTTTATTTATTATATTAATATAATATTTGTTCTTTAATATAAATTTTATTTATTAAATTAATTTTATGTGGGAATTTTAAAATTAAATTTGAATGACAAAACTAGCTCATCAACCCCCTTTGTAATTCGCCTTGTAAAATTACAT